AGCCGTCCTGCCAAACACAATGATTCATTAATTGAGCTCAGGAAAGAATCTTCATATGGCGACTGACATTCAATTATGCGAGAGAGATCAGATTAAAAAGAAGTCTGAAAAGCATGTCTGAAAAGCCTATTTTGCGGGCAAGCGCTGAGGGGAGGCTGACGTTGTAATTTGAACGACCGTTTGGGTCCTGGGTGAACTCGGCGGCAGTAAAGAAATCACTTCGCTACGACCTCACAGTAATTGGATGTCCATTGTGTGTTTGTGCAGGTGCATACAGATAGAATGCTTGCCATTGTGTTTATATGCCGTTTATTTTCATTTGAAGCTTGTAAAATGGGCCTTAAATCGCACATTCTGTCTGTAATCATTGCACTACATTTTTATATTATACTTCACACTGACCATAAACCCTCCAATGTATAAATAGATTATATGACATTAAAATGGTTCTAAGAGCTTGAAACAACGTTCACACAATTATTGTTTAATGTGCCATTGAGAGGTCCTAATATCTTGTTCCTGTTCAAAGACACACACACATGTTTTGTGTTTAGCTAATCTCCAAAACCTGAGCTACCTATCTAGCCAGCATTTAAGGCACGATAGGTGTGTTCCTGATGTGAAGATGGAAAAATACTTTCTTTTGGCCAAAATCTAAGGTAGCATTTCATGTAGGTAATACAAAAATGCATTACAATGAGTTGGAAATATTGGAAATATCCATCCAACATGGCAGGAGAATTTATGAAAGAACCGTTTCCGCCACAGGATGGATGGATGAATAAATAAATAAATAGTGCCTTTTTATCTCACAATTCAGACGTTTTTCAGAATTTTGAGATATAAACTCAGAATTGCAAGAAGTTTAGATGCAATTGCGAGTTTATTACTCACAATTCTAAGAAGAAAAGTATGAATTCTGAAATGTAGACTCGCAATTGAAAGTAAAAAAAAATCAGAATCATGAGTTTAAAAAGAACCTTTTCCGTGGCAGGAGAAAAGAAAAAGAAAAAGAAAAAAAAAACAGAAATACAAGAAGAAAAGTCAGAATTGTGAAATATAAACTTGCAATTGTGAGGAAAAAAGTCAAAATTGTGAGATAAAAAAAAACTTAATCACCTTTTTTTTAAATTCTGTGGTAGAAAAAAAATAAAAAAAAGAATTGCAAGATGTAAACTTGCAATTCTGAGAAAAAAAAGCAAGATATATAACAGAATTGTGAGAAAATAAAATCTGAATTCTGAATTTATATCATGCATTCTGACTTTTTTTCTTCATCAGAATTATACGTTTATATCTCAAAATTAAAAACGTCTGAATTTTGAGAACAAAAGAAAAAAAAGGTGCAATTACCTTGACGGAAACAGGCATGTACGATTCAAGCTAAATTTGTATTCTTACCGGCATCATTAGTTTAATAGCATTCTGATGTCAAACTCTGTCTATGTAGACAAGTTGACATAAAGACAGCTCACTAGGATTCAGAACAGAGCTCTTATCTGACCACAGACTGAGCATCAGAAGCAGGACTGTAATGATTAGACATACCGTAAGAGGACTGCCAGAATCCTGTCACTGCGTATCGATTTTAAGATGTCTCTTTTGCTACTGTGTCATTTGGGTTTATGAAACAAAGGTGGGGCTACTCTGCCTGTCAATCGGCTGTCAGATTTAGTAGCAGGACTCTGATTGCCAGGACCTGGAGCAGATGCACAGTGGGTAGCCCACGATAGCAGACTGACCACAGAAGTTGGTTTGAGGAGGTCGTACACTGACCGCCCCCCAAAGCAAGCCTGCAATCTGTCAGCCAGTCTAAATAAAACTCAAAACTAAACTTCAAACAGAATTCCAGACTTTTATGATGTGCAAGCCAACTTTTATGATGTGTGAGAAATGTGTTGATCAGGCAAACAAGTTCAGCATCCTAATGAAATACCACTTATTGACTGTCATGAATTGCTATAAAATAAAAAATAATAATAAAATTTAATTAAATTAAAAAAATTAAATTAAATTAAATTAAATTAAATAAAAAAAAGATACTGCCCATTTCTTTTTAATTCTTTCCAGTGTTTAACCATTAAGCACTCGCGCGCTCTCCTTCACTTCAAGTGCGCTCATGCACACTTGAAGCATACACACATAACGCCAGGTTCACACATACTCCATTTGCAGTGCGTATGTGGTGCGTATTTTTTTCCTGCGCTCATATTAACGGATTAAAGCGTTCACACTGCACATGGTTGCAGTCCGGCAGTGCGTTCTGCAGCAGTGCAGAGATCGTTTCCGCACCGAGTCTATTTTTCTTGTGCTGCATGCGCTAAATTAAAGTGACAGCACATTGTTTGCGGTAAACGAAAATGTAGTAATTACACCATAAATGCATATAATTGAAGTCTGTGTTTCACAGTCAACACATATGGCTTGTTGGCTAGTTTTAAAGGAAAAGAGATAAAAAAGGCAATAATAGATGGCACTCGTGGACGTAGGAAAACAGTTCTTTATGAACCGCAGGATTGCTTGTAATAAAGATTTAAATGCAAAAGAAAAGGCAGTAGAGCTGGCGGTTTCTGTCAGTGGTAAGTTTTAATTTAGAATGTTTGTGATAACGTAAGAAAAGTAGTTTAAATATTTTGCCACTTGAACTAGTGTAAAAACAAAAATGCACTGCATGATCAAACATTTAGGTGAGATAAATATATATTTTTGAAAAATACAAAAAAAAAATGTTCCCCTCCACCCCTCAAATAATAAAAAAAATCCCCTCTCACAAGAGTCACAAGAGGGATGGAAATTCCCCCATTTTTAAAAATGAAATTCAGGCCCTGAATAAATGTCTAAAAATCCTGATTGGAGTATATAAATATAAATAATTCTACATGATAAAAATAAGGCTTTAAAAAGATCAGTATCGGTGATCGTATCAGCAGATACTGCTTTCTGTGATCAGCCTAAAAAATCCTGATCAGAGCACCCCTACTTTTTATACATAAAGTACTTTCAAAAGTAAGTACTTTTGTACTTTTACTTAAGTTTAAAAGGCATCCACCCTGCATCCTCTACAGGTTTTCATCGCTGCACTTTGGATCATATGTGGTAATTGAGGTATTTTACCATTAATTCTATTATTCAAAGATTTGCAGCTGTTGTTCAACCTAATAGAGGTTGTTTTAATCCAATCAACTGACCCATAGATGCATGACTAATCACTCTGGAGAAGCAAGAATAACGTCCTCTCAACAAAACATAAAGGGAGAACTGATCTACTGTTCTCACTAGAGGCTTCCTGTTCTCTTTCCCTCTCTGCTGATTGTTATGAATGCAGCCATAGAAAGTCTAAAAGTGACTCTCATCTCAACCTATTAGCTGCCAGGATTTATCTTCCACAATTGATCCACAGCTTCATGGAGAGAAAAAAAACCCACAGTGGTGAGTGTATATTTTGAATAGATTTCATGCTTAAGAGAGTTCAGAGACAAAACAGGTTTTACAATTGTGTCATTGTGGGCGGAGGCAATTTTGAAAAGTGTAGTCTGTGAACTTTAAAAACAGCTCAAAAGTACATTTCTGGTGAAGAAACATCGCACACCTGCCTCCTTAACACACCTGAAATCCCCTGGAGCTCATTGTGTAAAACATCTGTCATATATATGAGATCAACTGCGACGAAGCACAGACTCGTGGGAGTCGTGCAGAGGTGTCACACATGGTGTCGACACAGCAGTGACTGAAAGTGAGCACAGCTTGTCAACATCCAGTGTTTCTCTCTGAAGAAATCAGAATAAACAGCTACATTCAGACACCTTTCATGTAACATTTCAATTACAATGTCAACTCGACTATCAAATGCGCTCTGGAACGCATGCAAACATGCATTTAATGATGGCTTTGCTCTGTTCCAGCTGAGGGGTTTTCAACTGGCCTTGTCGGACACAGCCGATGTTGGTGGATAAGTGTGTATAACCTCAATTAAAGCATGCTCTAAGTGTCTGACAACAGCTAATATTCCTCTTCCAGCAGCGGGCCGAATTGATGTTCCTTCATTCGTCACCCCACAGAAAAAGCAATCATGCTGTTGTCTCGCTCTGCTTAGGAGCTGGAAAGCGCTGCCTCCAGTTGCTCATTAGCATGCACCGCTAACACCCCTTGTCCTCAAGATACCGTAGCATCTTCCCTGCATTCATCCAACCTCCCGTCTCCTAACAACATTAAAACCCCTGCTTTAATATGCCGAGGAATCTGCTCTAATATACTTGCTCTAAAGGTGTCTTGAGGATAGTTAAACATTAAAACACACCACAGTTATTGTTTGTCCCCTCAGATTTGCCCCCTCATGTTTGTTTGCTTGTCTGTAGAGTTCGGTTTGAACAGAAAGCCTCCGTTCTGTCGGCCCTCCTGTTAGAGGTTTGACTCACAAAGCTTTACGAAAACAGCCAGCTGTGTTACGAGATCTGACAGTCTTTGAAACGTTCAAATGGGTATTTTTGCAATATCTGCGGTACATTTTGTGAATTCACCATTCGTATTATATGGAAAATTGATTTGCAGACACTAAAAAAGACCTGAGCTGATTGACACATTGAAGCAGCAGTGTAAAGATATATTGTGGTGGAATAGCTTCCCTCTCATGTACGTTTAAGTTACAAATGTTTGCTTAGGGGTGTAAATCCAGCGCTAACATCGCTAACATACTGTAAACTTGCTGTAGCCCATCAAATATACACTTTTAAATGCTAGAAATCTTAAAAGATGAATAGGAAGTATTTCAAAACAGAATAGGAAAAAAAGAGGAGGGGGGGGGGGACTTTACAATAAGATTCTATTTGTTAACATTAGTTAGTGCATTAGGTATCACAAACCTAAACCTAAAGAGATTTGCAGTACACCAGTGACTAAAAACATCATACAAATGTAACAAACAACATACTGTTGCCCAGTCTGCCATTACTTTATCCATAGCATTCAACAATAAAAAAGAGGCACTCAAAGAAAGCATGTACCTCTCTATCGAGCTGGTGGGGTGATATCACGGTGACAATGTCACCTCTTTCCGGGTCGATGTAGAACATATTGGGTGAAGGTTTATCCGGCAGCTGTCTCACGATGATGTAGCGCAATACAGCGTTGTCCGTGTTGGGATCATCTGCGTCATAAGCCGTCATGGTCATCACTGTAGTGCCTGCCAAAAACAGTTGAAAAACCAATGAGTTATAATGGAGACAAATGGGCAGGATGCTACTCGGTTTGGTGCCAACTATATCCTTAAGGTTTTATCTTGTTTTACCATTTTTCATTAAACCGCACTGCTGAACAGAACTGTAATCGATCGAACTCGGCGAGCCAAGCAAGAGAAGACGACACACTTTGAATGGGGCTTCAGGGCAGAAATTACAAAAGAGCAAGCCTACTTCTGAGCTACGATTCTCCCAGCACAGTTTTATATTGTACTGCATCTAAAATAAGGATGCCGTTCTTGGCAGATGAACTGTAATCCTAGTCCATTCTTGACATATCAGCTCAGACGTGGCCTCCGGAATGAACAGCGGCTCGACGGTATCCAGAAAGAGGCTGATATCTCAGTTTAAGTGATGCCGTTCATCTATTTCCTTTTCCCTCTGTCTTATCTAAATGTGTTCAGCTGCAAAAGCGGGCCGCAAACGGAGCTGAAGCCTCTCAAAGTCACAGTGACCAGACAGTGACATGAGGCTAAGTCATATCTATCTCCTGAAGTTAATGGCCTCTATCGCTGACGTTAACCTCCGATCAGCCTTTACGAGAGCTCTCACACTGAACGGCATAAATCCACCAGGCAGACAAAAAAAAAAAAAAAAAAAAACTCCGGGGAGAAAAAAG